ACGAGACAACATTCGTTGCACAGAATGTAGCTTAGCCTTGATAAGATGAGTTTGGTGTGATATAGAGTTTAAGAAAGTTACAGCACATGCAGTTTAGTATTGATTACGGTAATGTCCATCGCAACCTCAGTGGTTGCAAGGAAACACGCAGTGAGAAGATTTTTGAAAAAAAACCGGACTAGGCATTTATACAAATTGAAAGTAAAGAAAATTCTGAACTGTATCGATGTACTTGTCACAAACTACATGTTTATTTGTTTATTGCTAAAAAAGCCCTGTGCTATAAACTGTTTAATTAGTCGAATGATAAATTCTAGAAAAATGAAACTAAAAAGAAATTCACTTACCACATAGGCGCCAGTAGAACGGCTGAAATTCCTTCAGCGCGTGAAGATTTTGATTTAATAGTCGCTGACATCTGCAAATATTCTTTAATGCAGACAAAAACTCATAATTCCGGCGAAGAGATTTTTGAGGGAAAAATGAAGGTCAGACGAATATTCATCACTTGTGGTAGCACAGAAAAGCTGCTGAGTGTTCTGCAGAGCTAAGGGCGAATATCGCTGAGCGTAGAGCCAGAACTACAATAAAATGGGCGGCTGACACTTAAAAAGCACCACATGTGCAGAGCATGGATAGACGTTCTGTTGGAGATAACTGAAGCAGAACTTATTGACAAATTACTCCACTCACCTGGGTTTTTTCCTCCTTTGAAACTACGGGTTTTGCCGGTTTTTCTTCAACTTCCTTCTGCAAATCAACAACAGTTGGCTTCACGTCGTCTTGTGGCTCATTTTTAATTTGAGGCTTCTTCGCTGGTTCAACTTTCTTGTTTGCTTTTGGCTTGGTGTCCAGCTTTTCGGCCTCTTTTTTCTTTTCTTCTGCTGGCGTTTTCGCTTCGTGTTTCTCTTCGTTTTTCTCGACTTTCGCTGGTTCTGGCTGGGTTGGCCTCGTTCTCGCTGTGAACTATAAAAATTGCCGCCTTATCATAACTTTTTGTGGAAATCAGTTACTGATTGATGTAGTGGTGTAATTTTGTCCACACTTACCAGCTTTTTGATCCTTGATGGTCCGTTTCCTTTCTTCTGTTCCTTCTCCTTCTCCTTCTCCCCGTTGACAGCACTCTCTTTCGCCTCTTTCGTCTC